TCTGCCCCCCACACCTTAGATATTTATAGACCTGGATCAGGTCCCCTCTCAGTCTTCTTTTCTCAAGGCTGAACAGACCCAGTTCACTCAGCCTTTCCTCATAGGGGAGATGCTCCAGGCCCTTCACCATCTTCGTGGCCCTCCGCTGGACTCTTTCCAAGAGATCCCTGTCTTTTTTGTACTGGGGAGCCCAGAACTGGACACAGTACTCCAGATGAGGTCTTACCAGGGCAGAGTAGAGGGGGAGGATCACCTCCTTTGACCTGCTGGCCACGCTCTTTTTAATGCACCCCAGTAAGCCATTGGCCTTTTTGACCACAAGGGCACACTGCTGGCTCATGGCCAACCTGTCATCCACCAGGACACCCAGGTCCCTTTCCGCAGAGCTCCACTCCAGCAGGTCATCCCCCAACCTGTACTGGTGCATGCAATTATTCCTCCCCAGATGCAAGACTCTACACTTGCTTTTGTTAAACCTCATCCGGTTTTTTTCTGCCCAGCTCTCCAGCCTATCCAGGTCTCGCTGAATGGCAACACAGCCTTCAGGCATGTCACTCCTTGTGCCTTTGAAAAATTGGCCAAATCATCTATATACTTTTTGGGTGCATTAAAAAGAGCTTGACCAGCAGGTCGAGGGAGGTGATCCTCCCAATCTACTCTGCCCTGGTAAGGCTTCATCTAGAGTACTGTGTCCAATTCTGGGCTCCCCGGTACAAAAAGACAGGGATCTCTTGGAAGGAGTCCAGCAGAAGGCCACAAAGATGGTGAAGGCCCTGGAGCATCTCCCCTATGAAGAAAGGCTGAGTGAACAGGATCTGTTTAGCCTTGAGAAAAGAAGACTGAGAGGAGATGTGATCCAGGTCTATAAATATCTAAAGTGTGGGGAGCAGAGTGGTGAGGCCAGACTTTCCAGCAGTGTGTGAAGACAGGATAAGGGGAAACAGCCAGAAACTGCAGCATAGGAAGTTCTGCACAAATGTGCACAAGAACTTCTTTACGGTGAGGGTGATGGAGTGTTATAACAGGCTGCCCAGGGAGGTGGTGGAGTCTCCTTCTCTGGAGATGTTCAAGACCTGCCTGGACACCTACTTGCACAACCTGGTGTAGGGACCCTGCTTTGGGAGGTCCCTTCGAACCCCTACAATTCTGTGATTCTGTGATTCTAAGGCAGAAAGTTTCTGGACAAAAGTTATTAGGCCACTTCAGGAATTTTTGTTTTTGCAAGTTACTATTAACTGCATCAGAAATTCTGCCTTTTTCTTTCCACTTGTATAAACCAAGGGGGCAGAAATCATATTAGAGAGATGAAAAGAGAACTATAGCAATGCATACCACCTAAAAAACAGGAACAGGCACTGCACTTGGGGTATTTTTATGTGTATGGGAAAATAGTAATTATCGTCAGAGCTGCAGCAGTCTGCACGCTCAGTGAAGATGATATGATGGACCTTAAAGAATGCATCAGATTATTGTATACACATTGCCCAGTCCTTCACCAAAGGGTTCTAATCTCTACCTCTTTTCTCCCTCTGGCATCCTCCTTATGTAGATTCAGATTCCAGCCTGCCACAAGAGTGGTGAATTGATAAGGTCACTGGGTTAAAGCCCAAGGCTCAAGCGAGAGTTTAACATACAGTGTAAATTTATACAGTCATTCTTTCTGTTTTCTACTCCCTTAATTAATATTTAAATATTCCAAGTGAAGTGAAATAAGTTGAACAGGAGCCATTAATGACCTGAATCCAGAACACTCTATAGTCTGTTTATTGGAGTGTTCATCTGGGAAGCAGAATAGAGAAGTCAAAATCTACTATCTCTTCCATTTAAAGGCAGACTGCTCTGAGGCTTCTCAAGTCTCAACTGAATTGCCCTAGAAGTAATGTTATTATTTAAAAAACAACAACCTCCTTCTTCCTAGCAGCATGGATAGCCCTTTGTTTTTAATACATCCAGTATTACCCAGTCTTAAAATTACATTTTGCATTAAGTATTCTACTTGATTTTTTAATTTTTTAAAATTCTGTTCTCAGGATGAAGGCTGTAATACAGAGGATAAGTAGGAAATAACATAAATACAGGAAATGACTATTTTATATTTGAATGAGTCTGGACAGCATAGGGCTGTTTTGTTTTTTTTTTTCTTTCTTTTTCTAATTTTTCTTCAGGGGTACTGGGAAGCCTAGATGCTAAATTGCCCATTCCTTCATTCCTTGACCATAGACTCCCTATGCTTATTATGCCTTAAGGAGAACTCAGCTCACTAACCCAAAGGGGTTAGCTGCCAGAACTACAAGTTCACCCTAAACTCTGAAAGTTGCACAGTATTCTCCTCAACATTGCCACTGATTGTCAAGGTTTATTTATACCTCTGAGACCTTATGGGTCTTTAGATTGTATCCTAAGTGACAAGACTGAAGCCAAAGGATTAGTAAGAATCTCAGTGTTTCAGCGGTTTAGAATTTAGCAAATCAATCTGTTGATGCAAATGTGATATTTGTGACCTGATGGGACTGTTCTGTGTGCATGAGAAATTGTGATGTGGAGTCAGTATATATCTCTGGAATAATCTTTTTATGAAATGTGCATAACTTTTAAAAGTTCCTAGCCCCATTGAAAATCAGTAACAATCACAACTCAGTGCGCCAGGAGGCTCTCACAGATGTGGCAGTGGGCTGAAATTGGATGGCTGAAATTTTAACAGCCTTCAGCTGCAACCTCCACTATTGAAAAAGATGTTGCCACCCCCACATCTGGGACTGCTGAAGTGTTCACAAATCTCCTAACCTACTGCAATGTTCATCTAAGTATACTAAACTGGCTTGGATTCTGGTTGGCTATAACACAGGCAGAGAAATTGGTCTTGGGCATGAAAATACTAATTATATGGGTGGGAATGTCTGGAATTTGATTTTAACCTGTTGCTGAGTGACACCTCTCAAGTGGGAAAAGGACACTTGAAAGGCTCCAGCAGTTGATTTCAAGGCAGCAAATATGTCTGCTTGGGCAGAAGCTCTGCTCAACTGTAGCACTGGATTTCCTAGGAGTCCAGTGGAAGGCCTCAAAGATAATTAAGGGCCTGGAGCATCTCCTGTAGGAGAAAAGACTGAAGTAACCTAGGTCTGTTCAGCCTGGGGAGAAGGAGACTGAGAGGGGATCTGACAAATGTTTATAAATAACTACAGGGAGGTGGGAGGGAAATAGATGAGGCCAGGCTCTTCTCAGTTTTGTGTGGAACAAGGAGCATTGGCCTAAAACTTGAACATACATAAGAAATTCCGTACTAATATGCAGAAGAAATTTACGGTAAGGGTAACTGGACACTGGCACAGGTTGCCCAGAGGGGTTGTAGAATCTCATTTAGGGAGATATTCTAGACTGGTCTGGATGCCTACCTGTGCAATCTATTGTAGGCTACCTGCTTTAGCAAGGGTTTGGACTTGATGTTCTCTTGAGGTCCCTTCCAACTCCTCCGGTTCTGTGATTCCGTGAATATTTTTCAGAGGAAGAGAGCAAGTACAGCTAATTAGGTTTGTGAATAATGCTGCCTATACTTGTCCCATCTTTCTTTACTGATCTAATTGTGAAAATAGTAGGACTGCTAGATTTGGGAAAGAAGTTAAGATCAGTAGGAGATGGACAACAAAGCACACAACATTTGGGCACTCAAAATGAAGGACAAGGCAGGGAAAAACATCAGGATTGCACCGTAAGTACTGCAAAAATGGTAGTGGGGAGTCTATTCATCTTTGTGTAGTGCAGCTCTTTCACTTTCTATACCCCTATCATCCTAGAAAATTATTAGCTTTTGGTTGAGTAGCTGCAAAGGGACATATTTGATATCAAGGTGAGAAATAGAGGTATGAGAAAATCAGGCATCACCTTATTCCTTGAAAGTTCAGACCTCTGTGTGGACAAAGGTCCTTAAAATCATTGACATTTATTGAGAGTTGTTAAAAAATGAACCCACCTACACTGGGAACATATGTCATATCATATATATCATACAGTAGCTTAACAGTAGGTTACCAGCAGATTTGTAGACTAAGCTGGTGGAGTAACATGTTCTACTGTTTTTAACTGTGAAGTTATGAATATTTTTACTTTTATTGTTTTATATTCTGGAAAACAACTACCAACCAAGATTTTTAGGCTATCACTGCATTTTATGAGGAAGAATAATATGGAGCATTTCAAATGTTGTCAGTTTTCATTTACCAAAATTAAGATTTGTGTGGAGAAATAGTTTTTCTCAATACCCTAAGAAAAAGTAGATTAACTTTTTAACTCTCCATTAAACATTTAATTTATAGCAACAGTTAACTTAGTTAATGTTAGCATTCACCTTCCTACCTTCTTACTGGGACCAAACCAATGAATGCTTTTTGAAATCAAGCCTACTTTGGCATTGTAACTCTTTCTTCTAAAGAGATAATTTAATTATGTGAAAATGAGAAGATCTAAGGTATTTAAAAATCAGGTACAAGCTTCCTTGAAGTGTAGTGATACTGTATGTTTAAATCTTTTGTGTTTCTGTTGGATAAAATGGGATATAAACGTCCTTGACAGCAGAATTTGAGCCAAACCTCAAGTGGCATAAATGCGTTAGCTCCATTACAGATAATGGAAGTACACTTAATCACATCACCTAAGAATCTGGCCTACAGCCCATAACAAGACAGTCCTTTGGAGGGTAATAATATTTGATGTTTTCATCAATCACTCTCCTAGGTCTGTAGCTATCTGTGGCAGAATAAAAAATGTCACATCATAAACAAAAAGGCCAGTCATGGCTATTTCACCATGTTTGCATCCAAATAAAATTTACTAATTGTGGCCCTAGTTCAGGAAAATCTTCTTTCAGAAAATGTAATATTTACTTTTGTAATATTTACTTTTAATTTACATGTTCTGAGAACAGATGTATTTCAATACAACAGTCAAATTCTTGCATCTTAGGCTCCAAGTTTTATATTCTCATTCCTTTTCTTTTACTTGCCTAGGACGTATGTCTACGACCACTACAATAACAGATGGTAAGAATGGATCTGTTCCATCATCCATGAGAATGGGCAAGAAATCAGTTACAGAAGACCTTGTGACAACATTCAGCTCCCCAGCAGCATGGCTTCTTGTTGTGGCTCTGATTGTTACCTGGTCAGCAGTAGCTATTGTAATGTTTGACTTGGTGGATTACAAAGCCTTTGCAGGTAAAACTCAGCATCTTTTGTTTGATATATTTTATATAAAAATTTAAAAAATTATTAAGGTGTGTGTATTATGTAAATATGAATGAATACCTTCTTAGAGTCAGCACAGTGTCTCTGCTGAGTTTACTGTTAGAGGAGATATTGTGAGAAATGTCAGAATATATTCATTTATACTTCATAAGTCGTTATAATTTAAATCTTTCCATTTTGCAGCCCATCTTTATCCTGGAAAATGTATATGTTGACAGTAATATGATATGCATATGAGCATACATGCTCAGATTTCTGTTTTGCAATTTCAATATAAAAATATTTCAAAACTAATAAAATGAATTATTAATTTCCATCTTCTTAAATATATTTTCAAATTTCTCTTAGTTTCCTTAAGTATTCTGACATCTGCTTACACAATTCCATCACAAAAAATATGAAAAACACCATTTGTAAACATACTAACTGTAAATTCATCTGCAAAACTCGTAAGTACAGAAGGACAGATTCTTAGCATTAGCTAAGCCACAACCATACCCTCACTTAGGCATTTTAAGATTGGTCAAACTGAGTATACAGGATCAAGTTTGGGAATAGATTGGTTTTTGAGGGCAAGGCATATTCACTTGTCACAAGGACTATGATTCCGGTTGAGGAAAAAGAAGAAAGAAATGGTGAATAAAAATGAGCTCATCATTACTTGATTTTTATACCTTGTAGCTGGCAGTCATGTATAACAGAAATTAAAATAAATTTGTGTTTTTAAAGAGGGCATACTATTCAGCAAGCATGAGATAAGCAGGCTGTAGTGACTAGGAAATATGTGAAGCAAAACTAGAAAAGAAATGATGAAGGTCCTTTTCTTTTCTAAAGAAGAACACCAGCTCTACAGTGACCTCATCTATAACAGTAATTAACTAGGAATAGAAATTCAGCCATTTTATTAGCTTACTGATAAATCCATAGATTTTAGTCCTGCTGTAAATCAATATTGACCTCAAGATTTGCTGAAAAATCTTTTGAGGCAAAGAGCTTGAAAGAAACCTACTAATTCTGATTTGATGGATGACATAGAAGCTTGGAATATAGACAAAATGTAAGGCAGATCTCATTTAATTTTTTACTTCTAATTTGTTTTCAGAAGGAATTCACTTGAGTTTCAGTAACGTGGAAACTTCCTTCTGAGTGACCCTTCCTACACAAGCATCAGATTTTAATATGAACACCAAAAAAAATGTGGCAAAATGGACATAAACCAAGGGAGAGAAACCACCATATTTTGCTTGTAATTTTCCATATTAACTATCAATCAATCATATTCTTACTATTTTTCAGTAAGGAACAAGGGTATGCCTTAGACAAAACTAAACCAAGCAATTCATAGACTGGCTGTCAGCTTATGCATGCTCTGTATACTACTCAGGGTATTATTAAGCAATGCAAAACTATATTTTTTCGGTAGACTGAGGGAAAATTTCTAGGCAGATGGAAATCTGATGTTCACGTTGTATTGGTTAAATGAGCTTAAATCCCAAGGGCACTGATGCAAACTGACATTTTCAGACCAGGCAGTAGAAACAAAATAATGTAAAATTTAATCTGCAGAAGGAGTTCATATTTTGTAGAGATCTCTGAGTGATGATATTTCAATACTGTCATGGGTTCAAGTCTTTTTCTTCCCAAATATATTTCTGTTCCTACCTGATTAATTAAAGCAACATTTAAATAATCTATTAATGGTGAAATGTTAAATGAAAGAACTACTGTGCTCCTTCAGACCTAGATTTATCAGACTGCTTTCTGTTTTTACGGATACATAACGGTGGCTGTATAGCTTTTATTATGGCCAGGGTTTCAGCTCCTGACGTCCTAATCAGCTGCAGTTGTCCAGCTGAAACCCACCTGTGGCAATAGCTGAAGACTTCACATAGAGTCACCTGGCTGGGAGTACTGATACTGAAATTATTTTCACCCTGTGACAGTGTGGCCTTTGCCTCCAGTGGAGCTGTGAAGGAAAACTTGGAGCATGTTTTAAGTGACCCCTTAAATCTAAAATCCAGGAATAGTTTCATTTTACAATGACATTCTTCCTTGAATAACATACAGTTTAAAAAATCTTAATCATTACTTTCATTGCTGTAAATTTAATTTTTCAAGCATGATTAAATTTAATTTATTAGTTTTTAAATGTAAATGAAAGATGCCAAATAAATTAAATGTGACTGTGTATTTTTTTTTATGTACAAAACTCATAACATTCAGTGTCTTTTTTTTTCCTGAGGTAGAACTTGCCTTTCTTAAGTCAGTGCATACATGTTTTTTTAAGATTTCTTTCCTTGAAGTTCCATTAAGCTCAACTCTAGAAAATATGTAGGGAAAAGCTGAGAGGAAAACTTGTTTAGTCTGTCGAAGAGGGAACTGAGATTTGATCTAAGAGCAACACACTCTTTCAAAAGGCAGCTGAAAAAGTAGTAGATGACAAACAGTTACCAAGATGATTTTCCTGTAGTATCAGGTGATATAACAAGGTAAAAGGGCCTGAAGTTGTGTCACAGGAGGTTTATGTTGGACACTGGGAACAAAATCCTTATCATGAGGGTAGAGCAACACTAAGACTGCAGATTTTCCATCCTTGGAAGTCTTTGAGACTTTGTGAGCTGGTCATGGCTATCTGGCTCCAGTGGTAGCAGAAGTCCCTTGCTGAGAAGGATTGCACTAGATGAATTTCAGGGATGCCTCTGATCCATGTCTACGTGATTATATGATTCTATGAAAAGCTCTGTCAGAATTTAATAAGGTATTTAGAAAGCACATTGCCAGAGATCTCATTGGACTTCACAAGTCTGGGGTGGATTTCCCCAGCCTCATATATGGGGTGTGAATCTGTGAGCCATCGTAGTCAAGATTTCAGTCACTTGTTAGTGCAGTTAAAAATACACTGTGCACATCTGCAGAGCTAGCCCTCTACCAGGTTTGCAGGAAGCAAGAACCTGAGCTGAGATTGCTGGGTAAAATGTCACACACCTACATGCTGGCACCGACTGACCTAGTGACTCCCTTGACAGACTTTCATCATATTTATGAGCAAGAAATGCCAATTCCATAGCAAAGTCACTATTAATGACTATCCTGCACAGAACTGACTGTAGAAGAAAACAGCAGTTTGTAGACATAATAGGCCAGGCCAGGTTCTGCATAGCTAAGGAGTATACATAGATTTGCTCCTCCTAATTCCTATTGGTTATAGAAAACCAACCCACAGATTTTGCTTTTTGAGAACTACAGTATCAAACTCAAGTTTGGAAATTTTGAAGATTTATGCTAATTGAGATTTATCACACATGTAACAATATGAAAGTGAAGTATTTGTTCTCATCCTGAAATAAATGTAATGAAAACTTGCATTCCTATAATGTTATTTGGAAAACTGTAAACATGACTGAAATATTTCTAGTGTGGTTTGAAGAAGACATGCATTACAAAAGGCTATCACACTATAAACCTCATGTAGTACGTAACATGTATGAATATGCAATAAGTAGCATACCACACTGGAAGATCTCTTATACATTCTCAATATTTCTAGAAAAGCAAAAAGATTCCTTTTTGTTTTATGCGTGCTTTGCAACAATTTGTAATTACTTCCATCCCTGAAGTTCAAAAACATTTATTTCACTAATTGGCTTCATAATTCATGAATGTATTTCATGCATTTCTTGTACACATAGCTGGATCATATATTTTAATTAGTACATGTAACTAAATAATTTAAGATTATTTCAGTTCCAAGTTTTGATTGCCCAGGAATCTGCATTTGCTAATGGGTTAATAAAGGGCTCAGAATTCCCCACCCTCTCCATGACCAATTACACATAATTAACATTACCCTAATTTCAGATTCAGATTGTAACATTCAGAGTAAATTCATAGTATTGTTGCCAGTCACCTAAGAGCCAGACTAGGACAAACCTAGTGGAACCTCAGCAAATCTACAAAACCCCCATATAGCTAGAAAATAATAAGCAAAAAGGGCACAAGACATGGGAAGTGCAGGTTCCCATTTTCTTTTAATTACATTCATAAATGCAAAAAGGATAGGACCTTCCTTGTAGCTAATTCATTGTTCTCAACCAAAAGAGGCGTTTTAGAGATCTCCAGCCAAGGCAGATCTCTGTGGAAGTAATGCCTATCAATGGAGACATAGAGCTGCTGCCTCAATGCGAAACTGCAGGGATTATATCAGTAAGATGTTCTCCTTAATGCTTTTTATTTTTCTTTTTTCCTTTCTTTTAAGATAGATAATAGGAAAACAACTGGCCAAATTGCTCTGGGCTCTTGGACATCAGCTTCTGACTAACACAGTCTGAAATCACCATTTCCCTGTCTTTAGTTTATGGTCACTTTTGTTTTGGAAGGTCCTGGGTATCCAGAGTGATATACATATTTTCCAGTAAAGGAAAACAAACAAACAAAAAATTAAGACTCTAGTTTTCATTTTAACATCTGTATTTTGAAGAGAAAAAGACCCAAGAAAATGGTGAACAGGACTCTAAGTAATTTGTGCTGTGTAGTTGGCACATTTTTTGTTCCAGTCTTCTGCATGAAAAAATTGTAAATTTCAAAACCTGATTATGACAAGTGGAATTCAAAAAAGACAGCTACTCCACTACACTACTACTTGCCTATTACTTTATTTGTCTATTTATTTATTTCTCTATTTTATGAGATAAACATTATCAGGAACACGTAACTAGGTTGCCATAAAAGTAATGTCTCCTATTTATTTCCATGGAAACGACAACAGATACAAGGAACACAACAAGTCTATTTGATAGATCAAATTATTAGCTACAAAACACTATTTTTCATGGCGACCACCATTAGCTATGCATTTTCAACAGTGATGAGCAAGAGCCTGCCTGATGTACTCATAAAAATCTACACCAGCAGAGGTGACACACTCACTGTCGCCACCCACTGACTCACTGTCCTGTCATTCACAGTTTGGTTTCCATCAACATTCAGCAAGCATCAATGACAGTTGTGACTTTTTTCTAAAAGGAGGAAATCAGTGACACACCTTTGCTTCATACGCACTTTCATGTCAGATGCCATTTGTCAGACAGCCTCTCTGCTGCCACCAGTCACAAGGCAACAAATGTAACAGACTGGTGAGAAGGTTGGACTCCTACTGTCATACCACCAACAGCCACTTCTGATGTTGTGGGCCAATACAGTAAAAAAAAAGGAGGCACTACTTTCGAACCAACCCACATACATTCATTTTTCTTCTGGAATTTTATCCTAATACAGTCATTCTGTTGCATTTATGTTCAATTATAACTTCTAAAAATTGAGAGGAAAAAAAAAGAAGAGAGTACTTATATTAAGATTGGTATTTTTTCCAATTTTACTAATAAAATTACCTTACTTTTGTTTTTGCTTAAAGTGCCAGCAAACAAATAGAACAAATATTTTTGCCTCTCAGTGCAAGGGGTGTTTAAAAGTTTAAAAGTATCACCAAATTAAAATAATTGCTAAAAGGTTTTCCAGACATGCAAAACCCAAGAAAAATCTCCAATGGAATGCAGGAGTGGAATGTAAAATAATAAAAATATAAAATATAAAGATATAAAAAATAAAGTATAAAATATGAAATATGAAATATAAAATAAAATATCTTGGATATCGTGGATATCTTTGATCAAAACACTGATGTAATCTTTTAAAATACAATTTTTACTGTATTTACAGGTGTCAGTCTAAAGCATGAGTAAACAGCTTTTGCATTTCAAGGTTCTTAATTAAATTCTTCAAATTCTAC